ATTTTTGCAACCTGTTAGTGACTCTTCCTATTTAAAGCGGTTTCACGCCCCTGATTGGTCCGGCGTTGGTTCCTAGCCTTGACCCTCTCCAGCGCCCTCTCGCCGTTCCGCAGCCGCGTTCTCGACCAGTTCGCGGCCGCTAGGCCGTGCTTTGGCCGTGGGTGCGGGTTAGGGTAGATGTGGGGTTAGGGTTAGGGTAGATGTGGGGTGAGGAACCTAGCCTTAAAGAGTCACTAACAGAGTGTATGTAATAGACCTGAGGCCGGTGTGGCCCAAGGTCAAGGTCTATCTACCGTAGAATGAAGGGCGTGTTTTGGTCTGCTTGGCGTGTGTGTGCTCTGGTCTGGTTCCTCGAGACCTGCGCATGTCTTGCGTGTAAATACCTCAAGTGCATCTGCAAGACTCTAGAAAACAGATTTTGAGAGTTGTTGTTGTTGTTGTTGTCATAAACTGTCATAAACTGTCACAAAATTTTGTTGTCGGTTTTCAACAAGGATTTGCTTGGTGGCGTTCCGCGCCGTGCAAGAGGATGTCGTGTTGACACAAAAATGTGAAATCTACACTCCCCGCACTCCCCGCACCGAAACGGTTGTTGATCGTCGCGGGTACGGCTCGCTTCTTTCCTTGGTTCAGAGCCTTCACGTGTTTCGGGCTCAAAGAGAGCAGCGAGGATTAAGTCTCTGGATGTCGTCGGCCTTTTGACCATGCCACCCGCGCTGCTCGCATGATGAGGGGGGGGCGATCTTACCGAAGCACATGAACACTTTGACAGCCGGTCACCCTTGGTCCAAAAGTTACAAAAACCTTGAAATCGAGCGACAAAAAAAGGCGCGGCGTTTTCCGTAGCCGGTGTCACGACCCCCAACACCGCCGCTCTCTGGCTCGAGGTACGTGCACCAATGCGCGCGAAAATCCTCCTGTGTAATGTTAATGTTTCACTGTTTCACTCATCATCTCTCTCCCGATGAGAGCCTCGGCAAGCGAGTTTTTCACACAACAAGGGCTACTGCTCGTCGGTCAGACCCCCCGCAGGGTTCGCAACGCTTGGGTTCATTAGATCCAAGCACGCCAAGGAGAATCAATCATGGAGGGGCGCCACCTCTCACAGATCAAACGCAAAGAATCCTACCCAGAAAAGCGCGACCGTTTACCGCCGCCAGATCCAGCACGCCGAAGAGGATCGATCATGGGGGCGCACCACCTCGCACAGACCATACGAAACAACGCAAGAATCCTAACCCGAAAAACTGCGACCATTTGGTCCAGCACACCAAGGAGGAGAACGGGGGGTCACCACCTCATACTCTCACAGACCTTACAGTTAGCGCCTGCGCGTAAGAACTTGGCAGGTAAGAGACATTGGTGTAGCCTCGAAAAACTCAACAACTATTCAGAATCTGGGCAGCAGTAGACTAGAGAGCTCGGCTAAGAGCCCCTACACTAAAACCCATATAATAGCGGCCATGCGTAGCGTCGCCTTAGGAGCTACATTTAGAACGCCAGCCCGACCAAAACTTGTAGTAGAGTGCGGACGCTTACTGCTGTACTTATAGTACATACCACGCAAGAATCCTAACCAGCGAACGGCGACCGTTTGTTACCTTCATTGCCGTCCAGAGGAGGAGCTCTGCTCCCACGCGGTCAAGACGAGCTGGCACATGACCGCCTCAGGGACGCTCTTCAACAGCAGCATCGGCGGGACTCGCGTGTTCGGCCGGAAGTCGCTCTTGCTACCTCCGCCGCCGCCGCCCGTGCCCGGCCTCGAGACGGCCACCGTCGAGTACGGAGCACCCGGCAACTCGCCGCTACCGTTGGGGCTTGCCCGGTTCCCCTTCGTCAACCCGACGGTGATGTCGCAGGCACTAGCGGATCCCTCCGACGGCGGGGGCGAACGCTGCTGGGACATGGATGGGTGGAAACAGCGTCGCACGGCCGGTGGAAGGGTTTTGTGATAAGGGGGTGGCGCGTCTCGCGCGTGTGGGAAGGATAGGGGGGTGCTCATTGGTCAAGTCCATTGGCCGTTTTCGTCGTCTTCTGCGGGTTGTTGCTGGCAACAACAAGGCGATGCGGTTTGTTTGAGGCGACAACCTGGCACCCAGATCTGCAGGTCCGTGCACTCTTATATATGTAGGCCGGTCGGGTCGTGTGCGCAGCAGCGCTTGAGCTGGCGGCCCAACGACGAGCGGTGCAACGCATCCATCGCCACCTAACCACCAGGAACTGATCCAGTAGATAGCTTGAATGTACGCCCGTCCGTCCGCCCGCCCTCGAACCACGGTGATATCTACTTTCAGCCTAGGTCCGTCAGCCACCTTCTTCCTACCGTGTCATATCGTGGGGCAGATTTTCTCACCGTGAGCAACTCTCGGGCGTCGTCTACGGTGAAAAGCGCCTCCGGGAGGGAAACCCCGCGGCGGTTTCTCCCCGGACCCCTTCCTTTCCTGGCGTCACCAACGCCGCCACCACCGTCTTCTCCTCGGCCGCCCGATGACAGCTGCATTCTGGACTGATGAGCCGCTCGGACCTACGCACGCGCGGCATTCGCACGCGCGGCACGCCATGCAGGCATCGGAATTATTTCGGGGTGTGTGTGCAACCGTAGGAACAGAGCGCGCTTGAGAGGCTTCTTCCGCAACGCGGTCAACAGAGCCTTTTCGCTCGGTACGCTCGCCCAGAAGGACGGAGACGTAGAGAGGCAGACAGCCGGAAGGGGGAAAAGGAGAGGCGGGGGAAGAGAGACCGTTGCAGAGGCGAAGCGAGAAAGAGAGAGAGAAAGCGACAGAGAAACACGTTGCGCGGGAGGCGCTTACCTTCCCGAGAAGGCCCTCGAGCAACCGGTGCTTGACGTCCGGACGCGCGGTGCGCATCTCCAGCTCCTCCTGGGCCGACTTGAGCCGCAGCGCCGCCACCGTCTCCATCAGCTCGCTCACGCCGTCGTCGTCGTCACCGGCATCACCCCCGTTCTTGTTCGTTCGCCGCCTCCACCGGTTGCCCCCGGCGGCGGCGGCGGGAATGGCGCTGCTGGCAGCAGCAGCGGCGGCCGCGGCGGCGCTGGTCGAGGGGCGCATGAGTTGCCGGTGGATCTCCAGGTCGGCGGCGGCCTCCTCTTGCACCTGCTGCCGCACGCGTTCCGCCAGCCTGCCCCGCAGCCGGCCCTCGCACCGGCTGAAGAAGAGGCCGAGGAGCAGCAGTCGGTCCCGCGTGACGACGCTCACCCCCCTCACGTACACCTGGCACCTGCACCGAAGGTACGTGTTGTTGTTGTGGTGGTGGGGGTTGTGGTAGTGTTGACGATCGTTCATGAATCGGCAGCGACGCTGTCCTCGAGGTTTCGACAACAAAGGCCAATTTGAGAGTTAGTAGTGGCAGGGTTTTACCCACCGCCGACTCCTCCCCCCCCACCAAGAGGGCCGGACGCTTGTCTGGGCAACGTAATCGAGCTCCCCTGCTCGAGCACGGCACACCTACAACGGTCAGCCGGCACCGCCGGCATCGCCGGCGCTCCGCTGCCCTAAAATAACTCACCGCATAACCTTCCTCCGAAAGCGGTAGATGGCCTTGATGTTCTGGCTGAGCCTGGCGTCCTTCAGGAAGTCGTAGATGATCACGCCCCCCTCGCGCCTCCGACGCTTCCACGTTCCGTGCGCCCTCGGGATCCACGCCTTGAGGCAGCGGATGAAGTTTCGCCTCCCCGATCTGTCGCCGGCGGCGGCGGCCGCTCCCCCCGCCACGCCGGGGGCCCCTTGACGGCGGCGGACGAAGCGCTGCACCCGGGCAACGCTAGCCTCGAACACATCCTCCGATTGCTGCACGGCGAGGAGTTTAGCGCCCAGGGGGAGGGGGGGGGGTGTACTCATAGTCGTGCATGCCGTAGTCGTTTGACCGTTGACCTCGTATCCCTACAAAGCCGGGACGGAGCACGCCGGGTTCTCAGCGGACCAGGCTCTCACATCACCAAGCGCGAAGCGCCGTGAGGTATTTGGCGAGTCGCATGAAGGGTGAGCTGCATCCTGCTAAGGGTGTTTGGCATCTTGTGCTTACTTCCTTGCGTACGGATGACAGCTACGTATGACTTAATTTATTTTCTGGTGCTTTCACTTCCAGAGACAGTTGTAAGCACTGTGTAACTGCCTCGAGGAAGCTTGACCATTTTAACACAACGTGGTGCGATCATCCCCCGTTGCGCGGAGTGAGGTTTCTCGACCCCGCACACCATGATCTACTCGACCACCACTATGGTTACCGCCAAAAAAAAAAACGAGGTAAAAAAAAAAACCGGTAACCTGGTTGCCGAGTTCACGAAGTGAATTGGCTTGTTTTACGACGTCGTTGCCAAGCGACGAAAACCCAATCCCGATGGCAAACACCGAGTGGGGGGCTTGTTTTACAACGTCGTTGCCAAGCGACGAAAACCCAAACCCCGATGGCAAACACCGGGGGGTGCGGCTTGTTTTACAACGTCGTTGCCAAGCGACGAAAACCCAACCCCGATGGCAAACACCGGGGTGGGGGTAGGGGGGGGGTAGTGAGGTCGGGTTTGGTACTCCACCCCGGCCGAGGGTTTGTCGAGCAGACCATGATCGTGGAAGAAAGAGGGCTGTCACAGTCATATTGGTTCTCACATACGTGTAACCTTTGTACCGAGAGAAACCAAAATTACCTTCGAACCGAGACCGCGACAGCAGCAGCAGCAACAACAACAACAACAACAACAACAACATGATGGATGTTTCTGCCCCAAGCTCGAGAGAAGTCAGCGTACCTTTTTGTTCTCCCCAAAGCTTGAGAGAACTGCGACCAATTAGGGTACTACCTCTTGTTCTGTCCAAGCTTGTGAGAGAACTGAGTCTTGGTACATAGTGTACCTTTTTGTTCTCTCCAAAGCTTGAGAGAACTGCGACTAATTAGGGTTGCCTCTTGTTCTGTCCAAGCTTATGAGAGAACTGAGTCTTGGTATATAGTGTACCTTTTTGTTCTCCCCAAAGCTTGAGAGAACTGCGACCAACTAGGGTACTGCCTTTTGTTCTCTCCAAGCATTTGAGAGAACCGAGAAAAGTAAACGAGGGTGTACCCTTTGTTCGGCGAGGCCAGCCAACGCCTCCGCGAACTTGGCCATCTTCCACTTTCGCTCCTTCCAGTCGTTGCGCCATCGGATGGCGGAGTGGATCGCGACGACGGCGAACATGAAAAATCGCTGCCGTTTCTCGAGGAGGGCGGCCTCCTCCAGAGCACGCTGTACACAGAAGAAGAAAAAAGCCGGGGGGG